GGGGCAGGGCGGGGGCAGCTGCCTATGGCCGAGGACAGGGCCCCAGGGCTGTGCCAGGCTGGGGGGTGCAGTCCTGGCATCCCCAGGCTGGGGGCTCCACATTCGTGTGACCGGGAAGCCCAGGAGGAGGTGGGGGGCACAGTGAGGCGAGTGTCTGTGGAAGGCGGGGGCGGCCGGGGCCCCCGCACCTCACTGAGCGGCACTCGAAGTGGTTTTCTTCAGGGTGAAGTTGGTCCAGTTCACAGCCACCTTCTGCCGGGTTTGCTTCGCCGAGTCCAGACAGAACCTGAGGGTGGGGGCAGCATGAGGAAGGGGTGGTCGGGGGTCACCCCCCCCCACTGCTAGAGCCCAGCTGCAGGCCTGCCCCCTGCCTCCAGCACCCCCTGGCATGCCCCACCTCACCTCTTGAAATACTCCACTTCTCGGTCGGTCTCGTCCATCTCCACCCCGTCCACATCCTTGGGCAGAAACACATCGTCTGCAGGAGCAAAGCAGCACCAGGTCAGGCGCAGCACCCAGACAGCTGCCCCCCCGGACAAGGTCAGCCCTGGCAGTGCCAGGGAGCAGGGGCACTGCCCCAACAGGGAGCTGCTGCCAGGCAGAGGGTGCACAGGCCGACCCAGGGCACAGCTGTGGGAGCAAAGCCTGAGCCCCTGCCAGACCAGGGGGCTGGACACGCGGGCAGGGAGGGCCCTGCACTCACCGATGGACGGGTTGGCCTTGTCCGCCTTGTTCCTGCTCTTCCGGCTCTTGCCCTTGGGCTGGGGGGAGCTGGCCAGGGCAGGGGGCTGGGCAGTCTGCCGGTCCCCGAAGGCCACGGGGGGCAGCTGCACGGGCTCTGGCTGCTCGGCCCTGCCCTCACCCCTCCGGCCTTTCCGCTCACTGGTCCGCTCCTCGGGCCGGGGGCCGCCACAGCCCCAGCCCTGCCCCTTGCCGACCTCGCCTGGTTCCACGCTGCCGCCTCGCAGGGGCTCACAGACAGTGCTGGGCTTCGAAGGGTGCTTGGCTCCCAGCACCTGCCCCTTCGTGCCAGGGCTGTCCAGCTGGGCTGTGCCCCCCAGTACTGCCGGGCCATCCCCCTTCCTCCCCGGGCCGCTCTGCCGCTTGCTTTTCCTCTGCTTGCCCCCAGCAGGTACCAGCTCTAGTGGCTCTGGCCCCTTGGGCTCCGGGCCAGACCCGCCACTCTCCTGGCCAGAGTCCATCGCCTTGGGGGACTGGACCCAGATCATGCGGGACAGGCTGGGCACGGCGCTCAGGCGCCGCACCACACCGTTCTCAGTGGCCTCGCCTGGGTGCTCGCCCCACCGGGGGCCTGGCTCGTGACCCGGCACAGGGCCCAGGCTGAGCGGTGCCAGGTCAAGGCCGATGTCAGGTGGGTCAGCAGAGCCGTTGAGGTGGGCAAGCAGGCCCTTCTGCTCCAGCACAGCCGCCTTCTTGGGGAAGTCGTCCACGTCCAGGTTGAGGTCGTAGACGCTGAAGCTGGCGCGGATGGAGTCCTTGATCTCTTGCAGCCGGCTGCTCAGGAAGCTGTTCACCCGCTCCAGCTCCAGCTCCGGCCACTCCAGCAGCTCGTCCTCCGGCCCGGCCAGGGGCCTGCGCTCCACCCGCTTCTGTGCCTCCGCCTCCAGCTGCGCCTTCTCCTTCTCCTGCAGCACAGGGCAGGCAACGCCGGGGTCAGGGCCAGAGGCACAGAAGGTGGCTATGCCCAGGGGACACGGATTGGCCTCAGGCTGCAGCAAGGCAAGCGCAGGGCTCAGCCCGGCTCACTCAGCAGCAGGTGAGCCACTCAGGGGCCTCCCTCTCCCTGGTGCCCATGGCCTCTGCATGGCTGCCCGCCAGCTTATGCTTGGCACTAGTCACTGCACTGGGCTGGAGCCAACAGTGTGGGCTGCATGAGACCTGTGCCCTGGCAGCCGGCCACAGCCACATGCCCAGGCCAGGCCCAGTGCGGGTCCTGTCCGCAGAGCCAGGCAGGGTGGACCACGCCGTGAGGCACGGGCAGAGCCAGAGATGCGACCTCCCCAACCGGCCTCACCTTCTTCTTCTGCTTGTGCCGCGCCCGCTTGGCGGCCTTGGCACTGTTCAGAGGCTTGGGCTCCGTGCTGTTGATGTAGTCCAGGAGCTCATCCACGTCACGGTGGTCCACGGCCGGCTCCCCCGTACCACTGCCCGGGCCCAGCTTCTGCGGCAACTCCTCCTTGCGCTTGGTGAGGCGGGAGCGCAGCTTCTCCCGGATCTCCGCGTAGTTCCGGCTCGTTGGGGCTGCTGGGGGCTGCAGGGGGAAGCCAGAGCGGTGAGCCCCAGGCAGAGGTGGAGACACGCACTGCACAGCTGGCCACAGAGACCGCTTCAAGCCCCTCACACGCCCAGCCCCTCCACAAGCACAGCAAGTTTGCCAGGTCAGCGGGGCCATCACAAAACCCTGCTCCAGCGAGGCTGCTTGCAACTCAGCTGAGGGGGCGTTGGGGGCTGGGACACCCCTGATCCAGGAGAGCGGAGACGGGGTATCAGGTTGGAGGTGCAGCAGCAGGGCAGTGTTGGGGAACGGACAGGCCTCTCCAGGCAGGGCGTGGAGGGGCACGCGGAAGCCAGGCCACCAGGCAGGGGAGCGGCAGGGCAGGGTTTGCCCAGCTCAACCCTCCGGGCACCCCCAAGGCAGGGCAGGGCAGGGCTGGATGCAGCCACGCTCACCGCATTGTGGCCGAAGAACTCGCAGTAGCAGCAGTCGCAGAACTTCCCATCCTTCTGGGTGGTGGAAGATGAGGTGCAGGAGCTGCGCTCGGAGCTGCTGTCCTCGTCCTCGCCCAGGCCCTCGTCTGCCTCACACGACTGGGGCGGGTGGCACCCGGCGCCATTTGTGAACTTGTGCCCTTTGCACGAAGGGTCCCTGAGGGAGCAGGGGGGTGAGGGAGACCCTGGGAGCAGCAGCGGGAGTCGTGCTCCCTCCCCATATAACCAAGTGCTCATGAGCTGCTCCCATGTCCAGGGCCAGTCGCGATGCTGCCCCTGCCTCTTCTGCAGCCCAGGCTGCACGCGACTCCCAGGCATAGGCAGGGCACCTGGCCCAGGGGCACAGAGGGACAGGAGCCAGGTTCTCTAGGGTCCAGCCCTGAGCCTGGCTGGCTGCTGGGAATGCAGGGCTCTGCCCCCTCCCTAAGAGCTGTTCCTTGGGTCCCCTGCCTTCCCAAGGCCCCAGCGGCTTGCTCACCTGTTGGCGCTGGGCAGTGGGTGAGGGGTGGCTGGCGGGATCAGGGCGCCGCTGCAGTGCCCATTGCAGGGATGGGAACAGCCCGAGAGCGGTGGTGGCATCTTCAGAAGGGGCATGTTGGCGGGGGGCAGGTGCGGGCTCTTGTAGGTCCCCTGGCCATGCACAACGGGGCCCGCGGAGACTGGCTCGGCCACAGGCTTGGGGGCAGGCGCGGGGAAGGGCGGCGCTGGTGGGGCGGTACCCAGGGGGACGTGCGGCAGGGGGCTGAAGGGGCCCGGGTGGGCAGGCGGCTGCTTGGCAGGCGCCAGCGCTGGGGGCTGGGTGGGGAGGCCGGTGGGGCTGTTGGGCGGGGCGGTGAGGTCCGAGTGCCGATGGTGCTCCGGGGCATGGAAGGCTTCGCCTGCGGGGGAACAGGGAGAATCAGCCCACGGCATGAGGCACACGCATGTGCTCATACGAGCATATACACAGCTCCCTAGGCCACGCCGCACCCCACGCCAGCTCCCCACTCCCATTCTGCCTCTGCAGCCAGTTGCCCCGCAACTAGCTCTGCACTCTAGGCTGCAGTGGTATAGACGGGGTGGCCTGGCCAGGCCTGGTGCCAGTGCCCCAGGCAGGGAGGGGCTCTTGGACTGAGACGGAGCAGCCCAGCGCTGCGGAGGACACGGGTGCGTCCTGCACAGCCTGCTGGCCCGGCTACAGCCACCTCCGCTCCCTGCCAAGGCAGTCCTTTGCCCTGGGGGGTGAAGGATCCCTGGGAAGCACATACACCCACCTGGTGGGGTGGGTCTCCGGCACATGCTCTTGAACTGTTTGGGCAGCGCCTTGCAGAAGTCGAGTGAGGTAGGCAGAGGCGTGCTCGGGGCAGCACCGCCGGGGGCTGGGGAGACCGCGTGGCTGTAGGGACAGGCCTTGAGCCCCGGTGCCACTGTGGGGGCCTGGCTAACGCACTCTGCAGCCAGGGCCAGGCCCGTGTGCTTCTCACCTGGAACAGAGTCACCACTAGACATGGCTCCCGCCAGGACCAGGCGGCAGTCTCCAGCTGCCGCTCTCTGCGCTCCCCATGAAACGCAGGGCACTGGTAGGGGCAGCGCCAAGCAAGCAGACAGCCGGACACCCCGTCCCCGGCAGCCAGGACTTACCTAGCGCGGTGGGGGGCCCCGCGGGGCTGCCCTGTGCAGCTCCATTGGCGTGTGGGGAGTTCCAGAGGCCTGAGAGCTTGTGGGCGGACAAGAAAGAGCTGGGGTCCCAGTCCCCCGAGTTCCCGTGGCACGAGGAGGAGGATGACGAGGATGAGGACGAGGAGTGGGAGCCGCCACCGCAGGACTGTGCCTTGCAGGACGTGCGCGACAAGGAGACCTGCGGTGACATGCATCGTGAGAGGGCTGCGCAGGCTCCCTGGGCAGGGACGCCCGCAGGCACCGTGCCCTAGCAGAACCCTGAGCCAAGGCTGCTGCTGCCCCAGCCCTGACCCTCAGCTGGGACCCTTGCTCCAAAGCCACCGGCAGACCTCGGGGGACGTCCACCCGACAGCAGTGCCCGCCCAACACCTACCGCCAGCGCCTGCTCCTGCACCGCCCGCCGCTCCTCTTCCTCCACGCTCTTGCGGCAGCTCTGGCAGATCCACAGCGGCATCTCCCCCAGCAGGTTCTGCACCAGGGCTGGCACGAAGTCTGGGGGCAGCCGCTCGCCCGGGGACACCAGCCCATTGTGGGACGGGCCGCCCCAGTCCTTGCGCTCCCGGTGACAGAGCAGGCAGCACGTCTGCACCGACTGGCTGGCGGTGGGCAGCACCTGTGCGGGGACACACGGGGCATCACTCACGGTGCGGGGCAGGCCCAGCCATGCACAGGGCTGAACCCTTGGCCCCCGGGGACCTGAACGGCCCTGCCCACCCCTTCCCGAAAGCCAGCTCGTGGCTGCCTGCCGACAACACCCACCTCCTGCCGCGTGCAGAGCCGCCAGCAGGTGCCCGAGCACAAGGCGTGACCCCGTGGGTGCCTACGATGCCGGGAGAGGGGGTGCGGAGGGAATCCCAGGTGGGGGCAGGCTGCCTAGACCCCCTGACAGCCCCAACCCCCGCCCTGGGCATCCTGCTGGCAACAGCCTGGGCTGCGGCCTTTGTTCAGCAGACGGAGAAGCCAAGGCAGCGGGAGGCAGAGCAGGGCGCAGCCCCACGCTCGGCGTCCCCCTGCATGGCCTGGCGCAGCTGGGGACAGCCTGCCAGCCAGGGAGCCGCAGCGGGGGACACCCTGCCGGCCACGGAGCGGGAGCCGGGCGGCTGCCGGGGGGTCCCATTGTCTGCCCAGAGCGGCGGTGGCCGCGGAGCAGATGGCGGCTCCCCGCCTCAAGGTGAAGCGGAGGTCAGA